GTTCTTGTGATCAGTGCCAGTGCCAGGCAACCTGAGAGGAAAACAAGTTAATCCCAGCGAGGGCCATGCTCAGCCTTGACTGGGGCTCAGCTGGCAAACACAGGCACAAGGAAGGACAGACAGCCCTGCAGGGCCTGAGTGCCTGCTGCAAATGTCAGGAATCCTCCAAAACCCCATCCCAGGCCCAGGATCTGGGGCTGAGCTGCAGGAGCAGCTTCTCAGGGGGCTCCTGCCCTGTCCCTCGCCCTTTTCAGCTCCATCTGCATTCCCTGGGTTTTTACTGCAAATAAACCAGGCAGATATGAAGAATATGAAGAATCACCTTTTTTCTGACAAAAAGGATTTATCACACAGCACTAATTAATTAACAAAAAGGATTTATCACACAGCACCAATTAATTAATTAATAAAAAGGATTTATCACACAGCAGTTCACTTTGGACCAGGCAGCTGGCATCTTTGACACCATTCATTGAAAACGTTTGTATTTACCCAAGTGGGATGCATCAGAAGGACCTTGGGTGCCCGTTCTTCTGGGTTTCCCCGTACAGTCAGTGGTAAATTTCATTTCTGCCATTCTGTAAATCTGCCACTGCTGTAACTCCCTATTGTGCAGCAGTTTCAGGCAGTTTTCATTCAGCAGCATTTCCCAAAGAGCACAGTGAGACATCCCACTGCTCACTGTGTCATGGTGTCACCAAACACCACAGCCAATAAAATCCCGAAATCCTGAAATCTCTGCACTCTCTGGACCAGGTCAGGATGAAAAATGGCCAAGTGTCAGCCCCAGTGATCAAATTTCCTCACTCGTCTGTTGAATCCCTGTGTTCCCCTGGGTTTCCATAAAGCTCATGAAACAAAACAAACCTGTAGAGAAAGAGAAGGTTTGACATGATTAATACCTTTGCTGGTAATGTGTGCAACCCACCCAGGTGTCTAGACAGTTTGAAAAATGCAGATCATGTGTAGGAGGAACAGCTGGTACTCCTCAAGTCTCTCTGCTGGACCTCAAATGAAGTAGAAACAGACCTTATCAATATCAGGTGGCTCTCTCCCAAGGAAAACACCCGGCCTGTGGCAGGAAATTGAGTTCCTGCTCGGGTGGATGGCACTTCACCTGCAGCCTGCCAGAGAGTTCTGCACTCTCAAAGGCCCTGTTTTGAGAAAAGGGAGAGAACAAAAAGTTCAGATCTGTTTACATTGTGGGAAACCCAGTATTAAAAAAAAAAAAAGTAAAAAAAGTGAGTGTGAACACAGTAAAACAGTAAAAATTGCAGGTTCACCCATTTTATGAGGGCTCTTGGATAGGTACAGGATGGGGTTTTCCAGGAGTGTGAGTGGGGCAGGAGCACAGAGAGCCAGGGAGGTGCCTCTGAACAGGATGGCAAATGGGACCCAGTCAACAAATTTCACACCAAAAATGTCCCAGGGCCAGGCAAGCACCAAGGAAATCCCAAGGTCTTCCCTGCTCAGCAGGTATCTCTGGAGTCAAATTTGTCACAGCTCAGGAAACACACAAAGCTCTTTGTCCCACTTCATTGTGTTTGAGAATTTATCCTCCCTCTGATGGGGGGGGAATGAGATTTATAACCCAGCTGAGTTCCTGCCCAGGAGGCTGCCCTGGACTGTGGCCACTCACCAAGGGCTCAGCTCTGAGCGCTTTTACTGCAGGAGCCTGTAACTCACCTGAGCTGTAAATCACTGAGCTGTAACTCACCTGAGCTGTAAATCCCTGGGCTGTGTAACTCACCTGGGCTGTGTAACTCACCTGAGCTGTAAATCCCTGAGCTGTGTAAATCCCTGAGCTGTGTAACTCACCTGGGCTGTAACTCACCTGAGCTGTGTAACTCACCTGGGCTGTGTAAATCCCTGAGCTCTGTAACTCACCTGAGCTCTGTAACTCACCTGAGCTGTAAATCCCTGAGCTGTAAATCCCTGAGCTCTGTAACTCACCTGGGCTGTGTAAATCCCTGAGCTGTAACTCAGCTGGGCTGTGTAACTCACCTGGGCTGTGTAACTCACCTGAGCTGTGTAAATCCCTGAGCTCTGTAACTCACCTGGGCTGTGTAACTCACCTGGGCTGTGTAACTCACCTGAGCTGTGTAAATCCCTGAGCTCTGTAACTCACCTGGGCTGTGTAAATCCCTGAGCTGTGTAACTCACCTGGGCTGTGTAACTCACCTGGGCTGTAAATCCCTGAGCTCTGTAACTCACCTGAGCTGTAAATCCCTGGGCTGTGTAACTCACCTGAGCTGTGTAACTCACCTGAGCTGTAACTCACCTGAGCTCTGTAACTCACCTGGGCTGTGTAACTCACCTGAGCTGTGTAACTCACCTGAGCTGTGTAACTCACCTGAGCTGTGTAAATCCCTGAGCTCTGTAACTCACCTGGGCTGTGTAACTCACCTGAGCTCTGTAACTCACCTGAGCTCTGTAACTCACCCCAGCTCTCACCCAGCAGCCAGTGAGCACAGGATCTGCCCTGTGCTGGTCCCAGATCACCTGGCACAGGTGGCACTGGCAGGGAAGTGCCCACATTTGTCCCTGCCTGTGCCAGGGTGGGACAGCAGCAGGGGTGCCATGGGAAGAGAGTGCACAGGGCAGCCCCCGTGGGAAGAGCAAACTGTAAAACACGAGGCAGACAAAACATCTGGCAGCTGCTTCAAATAGTTCTGTGTCTGAAGGGCAGACAAGCCTGCAGGAGTTTGGAATGAGAACATGTGCAAAGGGAGGATGGTGCTTCAGTGTGTTCTGTGCAAGCATTGAATGGGGTTTGCTCCTTTCAGCGCTGCTTTGTAAGCCAAGAAAGGCTGTGCTTTGGGTTAGGTTCTTAATTTTAATAAACTCTAGTAAATAAATCACTGTATTTCCTTCTCCAGTCAAATGCAACTTTGGCATAAGATGAACAGCATTAGGAAGCGTGTGGGAGAGAAGAGGGCAGTGTGCTGGGAGCTGCTTTCCAGAATTGTCTCACCTTCTGCAGGAGAAAAGGTGTGACTGCCAAAACAAGTTCCTAAAAGCGTGACGCACGTTCCTTTGAGTTCCCACATCCCAGGGAAAGGGAAAATTGCCTTGGTACTGGCAGAGGACTTGGCAGGTCCTGGGCTCCAGCAGGGGAGGTGTTTGGGCTCAGAAATAAACCCGGTCCTGCAGACAAAGGAGAGAATTGGCAGCTGCCTCCCCCTCCAAGCGCTCCTGTCCTGGCGTTGTCAGAGCTGTGAGGATCCCCAGCTTTGGGCAGGAGTGGGACCTGCACCAGGACAGGCTCCCTGCTCACAGCGAGGGGACAAGGCTGCCAAGGAGGGATGGCATTTCCTTGCCACGTTTCCTTACCACATTTCCTTACCACGTTTCCTTACCACTCCTCCACTGAACTCTTCTCCCCTCGCAGGCTTTTCTGCACACAAATCCCTTCCACAACTCCCAGGAGGAGCCAAAAGCTCCTGCACTGCTTGTGCAGAGCACCAGGATGCCAAAGCTCTCTGAGAGTGGCTCCAGCAGTGCTGCAGCACAGGCAGGCAGCTCCAAGGGCTGACCCTGGTGAGTCAGCACAGCAGCAGGAGGAGGAGGAGGAGGAGGAGGATGAGGATGCTGGCAGGGCAGCAGGGGTGGCTCTCAGGGCAGTCCTGACACGAGCAGAACCTGCAGCTTCTCCTGCCCCTCACAAGGGCAGGGATGTGCCTGCCACGCTGCCAGGGCTGGGATGGAGGCAAGAACAGCAGAGCTCCACTGATTTATTGGGAGCTGCTGGGCTGTGATATCATTTGTTGATCCCATCAGGCCCAATCCCCAAGCCATGACTTCCTCCCCCGTTGCCATGGCACTGTACATAAACAGGGCAGGCTCCCAGCCCCGGGCAGGTCATTTGTTTCAAATATTCCATGCAGCTGGAACACGAGCCTGTTTGGGTGTCTGGAGCTGAGCATGAACTAATTCCTCAGTTTTGTGCACCCTGAGCCACTCCCAGCCTGGGCTGAAGGGAGCTGGGCAGGGACAGGGACAGGGGCAGAACCAGGGACAAAGGCAGAGCCAGGGACAAAAGCAGAGCCAGGCACAGGGGCAGAATCAGGCACAGGGGCAGAACCAGGGACAAAGGCAGAGCCAGGGACAAAGGCAGAACCAGGCACAAAGGCAGAGCCAGGGACAGGGGCAGAACCAGGCACAGGGGCAGAGCCAGAATCAGGCACAGGGGCAGAGCCAGAACCAGGCACAAAGGCAGAACCAGGGACAAAGGCAGAACCAGGGACAAAAGCAGAGCCAGGCACAGGGGCAGAACCAGGCACAGGGGCAGAACCAGGGACAAAGGCAGAACCAGGCACAAGGGCAGAGCTCCCTCAGCTCTGATCCCTGAATCTGCCGGATGCTGGAGCTCAGGAGCTACAAACCCTCTTAATCACGTGGTTTTCCACATGTAAGAGACACCCAAAATTTTAAAAAATAAATCTTGTCCTGACTGGAGAGAAGAGGCAAGAAAGCACTTGCCTTTTTTTGGGCCCTCCCTCCCCCATTAGGCAGCTAATTAATTAGCATGAGTTCAGGCTGTGCCTGAGCCTCGCCTGTTGCACAGTGTGCCTGGACTCATTACAAGGTTTGGTTTCCTCACACAACTTGGTGGCTGCAGGAGGAGGACCTGTAGCCTTCATCACCACGGACAAAGCATCACCACAGCTGGAGAGAGGGCACAGCAGCAGGCAAGCAGTGCAAACCAGCTGTAAACCAGGCCCCAGCAGGAACCCAGGGCTGTCCCAGCTCCATCCCTGAGGCACTGAGGGGCTGCACACACTCAGCTTCCACACCTGAGCCTGTCCCACAGCTGCAGCCTGCCCCCACCTGTGCACATATTTCAGAGGTAAATCGTTATTTTTCCAAGCAGGGATGAGGCAGAGGCAGCCCCTGCTCTGCCTGTCTGGGCAGGCTCCTTGGGAATAAACTCCCTGCTCATGCAGAAACATGGCACAAAGAAATCTGATCAGTTCATGCCAATAAAACCCACCACCAGGTAATATTTAATAAAGTTTATTAGGTTACTGAGTGCTATCTACAGTCATAAAATAGAAAGGATTTTAAACTGTACAGAGTCATGTCCTGGTGAAGTGAGGAGAGATGGAAATGAGGGAGCACAAAGGGCAGCAGAAGTAGGGAGAACACAGCTTCTTCCCTGGAGTTCTGGAAGACACTGGTTCAAGTTGAAGGCAACCAAGCAGGGCTCCACACACTGAATTTTGTGTCCCACCCTGCAACAGAAACTAGTACAAACCCCTACGTTGAAAAAAAAAACTCATATAATATTAGAATAAAAAAGGGGCACATCACACCCCACCCAGTCTTGGCACCAACTCTGTGCTTTAAAAAATATACTATGCAAGTAGTTTATTTTCAAAAATGTACCCTACAGCAGCTGTTTAAAACATGTTCTTATACATACACCCCACATATATATATTAACATTTTCAACAACTAAACTCATTTGTACCTACACAAAACTGAAGGGATAACTCAAAAGCAAAAACAAAACAATCACACAAACATTTTTCAAGGAAAAAAACACAAAGAAATGTGCAAAATAACCCCAGAAAGGCAGCATAGTAACCTGTGGAGAGGTCAAGAGAGCAGCTCCTGCTAACCAAGGAGTGTCACCTCTTTACCTGGCTACTGAGGATCTATTTGGGATGTGCTGATTTTGCCTGAATTGCTCGTCCTGTTTATTGCAGCTCTCTCCTGCTCCCCAGCTCTGGAGAGGTTCAGTTTCCTCCTGCTGTGCCTGAAGATCCCCCCTGGCCTGCCTGAGCCCTGGGGCTGCTGCTGGTGCCCCCTGCTCTGGGACAGAGGGCAGAGAGCCCCTCCTGCTGCGGAGTTAAGGGGGATTAGGGTGGTCTGGGACAGAACTGAGCCTGGCCCGGGTGGATTTAAGCAGCTTACCAAGGAGAGAATTCCCTGGCAGTGCCATTAGTGAACATGGAGGTTTCTCTGAGGGCAGAGCATGGGGCAGAGCTCAGGGGACAGGAGCTGCAGCTGTGCCAGATGTGTGCCAGATGTGTGACAGCTCACACACACGGTCCCACCCCAGCCAGGGACCCCAGAGCAAAGGTGCAGCTCTGAGTCAGGGAGGAGGAGGGTGGGGACACAGCCTGACTGCAAAATCAGCTGTGAGAGCCCCAGGGAGGAGGCAGGGCAGAGCAGGATGAGCACTGGTGCTAAACAAGGCAGCAGGAGTCACCACCTGGGAAACAGCAACAGAGCAAGGTGAGAATCCCAGCACAGACACAGACATCAGCAACACAACCACCCTCTCCAAGTTCAGAAGTGTCCTGGTGGAGGAAGGGCTCTTGGTTTTGGTGTTTCAGGGCTCGGGGTTGTACTTTTTATTTTTTGGCTTTTAAAAACTCATCAATTAATTCTTTATGGTACTCCAGACTCTTTCCAACTCCGCTGGCCATCCTGAGCCTTTCCATTCTCAGGACGTGGTCTCGACATTTCTATTCCTAATGCCTCCTCTTCCTCAGATCTTGTTCGAATTCTTACATTTATCATTATTCTTTTCTCACCATCCTTCCCTTTGGCTGGTACAGAAGAACCATTCCCCTGGAGCCCAGAGAGGCAGCACAGCCTTTTCCCAGGAGGAGAGGGGAGCACAGAGCTCTGTCAATGTTCCTCTGGTCAGTGTGCTGGGGAAGGGACTCCCAAGGAGCAGAGAGCACTCAGCTGAGAGCCAGGGCTGCCCGGGGGCACCGGGGGCTGCAGCAGTGGCAGGAATGCAGGAATGCAGGAATCCATCCTCTGGCCAGGCAGCTCCAGCAGGGCAGGGCCCGGGGCGGCTCCATCCACCTCTGTCCTGGAGCTGGGGGTCATTGGTAGAGCAGGTAACTCTTGAGGGAGGCTGGCAGGGGCAGCGTGGGGATCTCAGCCAGTCTGTCCTTGCCCAGGGCAAGCCTCACCGCCCGCCGGCACAAGTCCATCAGAGGCAGGGGCTCAGCTGGGGAGAGAGAGCAGAGACATTACCAGCCCTGCCCAGGGGGAGCAGCCTCACCCGCTCACCCTGCTGCTTGTAAACCCCCAGAGAACACTGAGCAGGAGCACTGGAATGAGGGGCACACTCACACCCTCACCCTGCGGCTTCTACACCCCAGGAACTCTGAGCAGGAGCACTGGAATGAGGGGCACCCTCACACCCTCACCCTGCTGCTTCTACACCCCAGGAACTCTGGGCAGGAGCACTGAATGCCTGGCACAAGGGGCACACTCACCCTGCAGCTTCTAAACCCCCAGAGAACTCTGAGCAGGAGCACTGGAATGAGGGGCACACTCACACCCTCACCCTGTGGCTTCTACATCCCCAGAGAACTCTGAGCAGGAGCACTGAACACCTGGCACAAGGTGCACACTCACAACCTCACCCTGCTGCTTGTAAACCCTGGGAACACTGAATGCCTGGCACAAGGTGCACACTCACCCCCTCACCCTGCTGCTTCTAAACTCCCAGAGAACACTGAGCAGGAGCACTGAACCCCTGGCACAAGGTGCACCCTCACCCTGCTGCCTGTAACCCCCAGGAGCACTGAACCCCTGGCAGCACTCAGCCATTCACAGCTCCAGCCCACCGAGCACTCCAGCAGGGCACGAGGTGTCCGCAGGCCACTCCAGCCCGTGTGTGAATGGAACAACCCCACAAAAGCAGCTGCTGTTCCTCCTCTGCAGTTCCAGTCAGAACACATCTTGCAGCTCCTGCCTCTCCTGCAGTACCCAGAGACTTCTGTAGAGTCACTGCAGGAAAAGGCTACAGCAGCCAGAGCCTCGGGGGTCTGGGCACCCTGAAAGCAGCATGATTGATCTCACACAGGAGGGGAACAGCTGTCAGCCCCTCATTTGTACTGCACAGCTCCCAAGGAAAGCAGAGCCATCTGTCAAAGCTTTGCACCCTGACACTTCCCAGCAGAGCAGTCCCTCCCGTGCACAGAGCCAGGAAGGATACAAGCCCTTGGCTATCTTTTTCTGCATCCTGTACTTAAACCCCTGAACAAGATAATACAAGTTTTTCAGGAATGGCACATGGGGCCTTTGGCTGCTGAGGAGTCACTCACAGCACAGAGGGGACTGAGGTCAAAGCCAGAGGAGGAAAAATCACATGAGCTGCTCACTGCTGAGCCTGTCAGAGCTCACCCTGACACTGCTCAGGCCTGAGGGGCTCCTCCTGCCCCAGCCAGGGCTGACACATCCCAAAGCAGATAAATGCCATCCTTCCATGGCCTGAGGGCTCTGCTGCACCACTAGGTAGCTTCCTTTGCTCACAGACACCTGAAAGCACCCACAGGTGAGCTTGGCTCAGAAGCTGCAGTTGCCACAGCTTTGGTAGATGCCTCCAGCTCCACACCACATGAACCTGAGGGCTCACACAGCTTGCCAAGGCCAGCACTCCCCAGTGCTGTCCTGTGCCACCAGGCTGCAGCCAGCCCTGCCCCGTGTGCTGGGTCCCTGCTGCCCCTCCTCAGGGACACACACTGCTGCTCTGTGCCCTGCCTGGGACGCTGCACAGAGCCCTGGCAGCACTCCCTGGCACTGCCCAGGGCAGCTCATTCTGAGCACTGGGCCACAGACCCAGGGTCTGCATTCAGAGTCTGCCCCAGTTCTGCCTGCCCTGCACAGGGACAGCTGGGACAGAGGCACTGCCCAGCCAGCACCCCCAGCACCAGGGGCCTGACCCCCAGAGCCTTTAGGTTCTCACAGGACAATCACATTTCAGTTCAGTGGCCTCTAAAGGAGAGGCTCTTCCACAGAGACTCGGGTCTGTCCTCACCTATTCTGCACTGCCATCCCAGGGTGAGCAGAGCAGCAGAGAAAGCACACACACACACAGAGCTGACCTCCTTCCATTCACAAGCACCACAATCCCTGGACAGTGCTGCATTGAGTGCTCCCAAGTGCTCAGAGCCAGACACCTTCTTTCTGCCTGTGCCAGAACAGCATCCCATCCCTGCTGGCCTGCTGCCCACGATTCACTGCTCAGCCCAGAGCTCACACCACAGCTCCAGCCTGGAGGTGGCCCTTCCCTGCTCCAGCAGCTCTGTGCCAGCAGCTCCACACTCCCTGCCTTGGATGGAGCTGCAGGCTTTGGCTCGGGCCCTGCAGCAGAACCTGGATCCTGGAGCTGCTGCCACCCTCGAAGCTGCTGTGGCAGGAAGAGCTGGGCTTTCTTTGGGTGAGAAAGGGCTCTGCCAAGAGCTCTCTGCTTGCTCTGGCAGAGTGGGAGTGAGTTTCCCAAAGCACTTGCACATTTTGCTCCTGCCCCTTTGCAAGGCTCTCCTGGTCACCCTGACAGCTCAGTTCTCTGGTGGCAGCTCTGTGGCACTCAGGGTTTGCCAGTGCTGGACACCTCCAGCACAAACACAAGAGCCCTCAGGCAGACACTGCTCTGGAATGCAGGGGAAACTGCTCTCCATACCAATACTGCCAAATTTATTTCACTAGTGACATAAATCCAGATTTTAATCCACATCCTTCACCTCTCTCCTCCACCCTACCCAGAAGACTGAGTCACAGTCTGGCCCCATGGGAACTTCTGACTATGAGAGATAACAGACTTTAGCACATTTGGACAGCCAAATTTATTACTAAGCTTAGCTAGAGATTGATCTGCCTGGTTAGTAAAAGGGCTGGCATGTGAGCTGGGCTGACAACAGCACCCAGCCCCTGCTAGAAACGAGCACACCCTGCTCTGAGAGAGGCAGGGGAGTGAGCCACTCTTCTGAAAGATGGAAAACATTCCCATTTTATCTTAGAGGGGAAGATCTGTCCCTGTTCTTGCCTGCAAGGGATTTTAAACATCCCCTTGAAGGAAGGGGATTGTCCCAGAGACTGTTTTCTGTAGAGAGACACCAGGATTGCAGTGCCAGCAATGCAACTGTCAGAAGAACGTTCCTGCTGCTCTTCTGGCAGCAACACAAGGTTTCCCATCTCTAGCTGGACAACTGGCATCACCTCCTGCCACCACAGCACCTCCCCAGCCCTGCCTGCTCCCTGCAGAGTGCCCTGGGGACAGCACAGGTGTGCAGACAGACAGACAGACTCTGTGCACTTTCCATGGGGGACTCAGAGCTGCACCCAGCAGTGCTGCTGCTGACACAAACCCTCCCCTGTCACAGACATCTTTTATGAAAAACCTTAAGATTTTTCCCCTTGAGAAGCTGAGAAGCCTCAAGAACCAAATGTAAACAAAGGTTATCTGCTGCTGTGGAATGCAACAAGCGAATCTGTGATTAGTCTCATAGAGTTGTTTCTAATTAATAGCTAATCACAGTCAGCTTTTGTTATCATTCTTTTTTTTTTATCTTAGTTAACTTTGTAATAAAATCTTTTGTTCTATTTTTTTTAGTATAGTTTTAATATAATATATATCATAAAACAATAAATCAAGCCTTCTGAAACATGGAGTCAGATCCTCATCCCTTCCCTCATCTTTGGACCCCTGTGAACACGGTCACACTCCCCCCTGCAGGAAGAGGAGAACCCTGCCCAGGGTGGCCCAGGATGGCCCGGGATGGCTCAGGATGGCCCGGGATGGCTCAGGATGGCCCGGGATGGCCCAGCAGGGCAGTCAGGGCAGTGCTGCAGGGCTCATACTCACGGTCCAGTCCGTTCAAGTAGCACATGCGGATCTCGCAGTGGCCCCACACGGCGCTCACCACCGGGTACAGCTTTTTGCCCTTGAGCCCTCGGAAGGCCACCCCCATGTACTGCCCGTCCACGATGAAGCTCAGGGTGCCATCGTCCATGTCCAGCACCACCAGGAAGGAGTCGGGCACGATGAAGGTCTCGTCGGGCTCCAGGAAGGCGGGGTAGGTTTTGCTGGGCTGGTTCTTGCCATCATGGTAGAGTCTGTTGCGGCCCAGGTCCCAGCCCCAGGACTCGTGGTTGTTGCCCACGAGGGTGGTGTAGCCCACGGAGTGCAGGGGCGCCTCGGCCGTGGCCACCCCCACGACGGCGTGGGTGCCGCGCTGGCGCATGGCCCAGGTGATCTGCCAGACGTGCAGCCCCCGCGTGTAGCCCACCTTGCCGCGGATGGCGTCTGTGCTCTGCGCCACCGGGTGCCGGTGGAACATGAGCTTGTCGTCCTCCTTGACGAACACGTTGAGCGAGCGGTCGTCGTTGTTCCACGAGTGCAGCAGCTGCACCTCGTAGGACACGGGGGGCATGTCCAGCAGCAGCTCCAGCCGCGTGGGCTTGCTGTAGTCCAGCCCCTGGAGCTCCTGCTTCAGCGGCCGGTACACAGGGTCCCTCATGTCCACAGTCTTTATCCCCCCCGTGACCTTCTGACCCATGGTTGGCCTCCTCACAGGCTCATCGAGTTACCTGGCAGCTCCTGCTGTCATCCAGCCCCGCAGGAAAGGCTGCCAGGAGGCTTTGTCCAGATGTGCACCACTCAGGATTGCCTAATGGATGGAAAGAAAAACAAGAGACGGGTTAAACATTAGCACACTCAGCCCTGTGTGCCACACTCACAGAGCACTGCATTCATCTGTTTATCCCAACAAGGTGTGCTTCCCTTCCACCAGCCAGGAGGGGTGCACACATCAGCTGGCCACGGGCGCAGGGCTGGGGAGACGCTTCCCTGCAGCTAAAGCTGTGCTGAGTACCTCGGGGGCCTGGCTGCAAGTCCAGAGCAGCAGACCAAAGCTGCTGGGGCACCCTCATCCCAGCAGCTCCGGCCCCTCCAAACCCCTGCAGCCAAGGGCAGATAAACCTTTGCCGGGCTCGTCCCAAGTGAGCAGCTTCTCTTCTCCAAGAGGGAAAAAAATCCCCAGCTTCAGCTGCAGAGTCCAGGGGGAGGAGCAAGATCCTTCCCACAGTTGAGCAGTTTTCCTTCCAGATTGCAGAGAAACCTCTGAGAGGTTTAAGCCAGCTTGGCCAGAGGTCCCTGCTCACTCTGTGCACCTCTCCTCCAGCACTGCATCCACTCCAGTGTCTCTGCTCTCACTCAGCAACACAAACAGCCCTCTGTCACACAGCTGCCAAACTGGGGGCAGCTATTAGGAGAATTAGAAGTGGGAGGGGTGCAAACGAGCTTTCTAAGAAAAAAAAGTGTTATTTTAACATTTCCTGAAGTGAGGCAATCATGCAGCGCTCCTGCCAGCTACAGTCACAACATTTACTCACAACCAAGGACCTCATCTGGCATAGAAAATAGAGCATGAATCAGATCTGGTTTAAAAATAAGATTACTGGACATCAGCAAGGCTTCAGCTAGAAGGTGAACAGGGAGGGCTCACTGTGTTCTGGGTTAGGGGTGAATTCAGCAGCTTCCCCACAGTCTTTTCCTACCAAGGTACCCCATTGGAACAGTGAGCTAAATCCCAATTCTTAAGTAACAAGAGACAAGACTATTTTTTCTTTCCTTACCCACTTTTTTTAAAGATCATGAATGGAGAGGAAAATGCCTGAGATTTTTTTAAAGTCACATCCCAATGCACAGGCTGTAGTACAGATATTTCAAACTATTCAGGGACCTCAGATGTTGGGCACTGAGACAGAAGATGCCATTTAAATAGGCTCCAACCATGTTATCTGAGATTGCTGTTAGCTGCTGAGATGACCACCACACATCCTGGAAGTGAAATAAATGCCATCCACAACATCCAGACAAATCCTGGACTGTGTAAGCCAGCTGGTCACCAGCTGAAGAAAGCAATAACAGCAGAACCAGCTGAGGGAGGGCAGCAGGGGATGGCAGGGCAGCTCATGGCTGAGCTGCTGTGGCCCATGAATTTCCATGGATCAGAGCCCCTCAGGGGACAAGGGACAGCAGCATCTCCAGCCAAGGCATCCCAAGAGCAAACCAAAGCAGACATCAGCTGAGCTTCCCTGGGAGAGGCACATTAAAGCTGACCCAAAGTGATTTTGGAAAAGGTTCAGTGCAGGCTCTTGGCTCAGCTGGGATGAAGCCCAGGCAGCAGCACCAGGTGAATTCCCTGGCATTCCAAGGCCTGAGGCACACGGACAAAAGCTGTCAGCAAGGGACTGGCACGGCACACGTGGGAGCCCATAGGCAAATCCAGCTGCTGGAATTTTGATTGGGATAAGGGAACAAAACATTGGCAGAGGGAGGAGAGGCAGAGATTTCCTGTGCAGTACATGTGAGAACACAGCATAGGAAACAAGAACCAAAACAAAGCAGGAGTGCAGACCTCTTTGAAGCACAAAACACTCAGCAGAAGTGAGGGAATACAACTGCACTCTTCATTAGCAAAACAATGCCTTGTTCACTGTGGCTTTTTGCCTTTTGCCAGCATAAGCTTCATCATATTTCTCTGAGGCTGCTGCAGCAGGGAGGGAAAGGGAATCACCCCAGAGAGAGAGCAGGGGCAGAGAGCCCTGAGTGCCTGCTCTGCCCAGAAGGTCCCAAACACGGGCACCACTCAGCACCTGCACTGCTCAGGAGCCTTTCCCAGGCACTGCTCACTGCAGATGACAGACAATGGCCAGAATAAAGAGAAAGGGAAAAGGCTGAAGCAGAGGGTGGGTGAGAGTGAGAGCAGGGCAGGTACAGCCAGCCCACGCCAGGATTGAAGTGCAATCCAGCTCCTTGTTGGGGCAAGGCAATAATCCCTGCCCACAGCCCGGCCTGGCACTGCACAGTGGCACCTTGCCCTGCAGCCAGGAGCACAACCATGCCCTCACCTCCTAAAAGGAAAAGCCTCTGCATGCACAGGACAGTGCAGGCACATTCCTGCAGCAGGAGGGAGACAGAAAGGCTTATCCAGTGAAATTAATGGATTAACGCCCTGGGCAGCTCCACAGCCAGCCATAAATGAGAAGATAGGCTGGGGAATGAGCTGCTTCAAAACCTCTGAGCTGCTACAGGTTTAAGTAAAATGTAAACACTGAAAGTGCTTTTATCTGTCTTATCAACAGCTCAGGCTTGCTGCAACTCTGCTCTGCTTTGCCAACACCAGCTCATCCCCAGGATGCACTCCTGCTCCCAGGCTACTGCCAGTTCTATTGTTAACCTCATGGGCCTAAAAACCAGGGAGTGAAAGTCTAAGGGTGCCTCAGAGAAAAGGATTCCCTGCTATTTTCAGTGAGAATCAGCTCTCCCTTCCATTTAGGTGTTCAGGCTGTCACTTTGCCACGTTAGAAGGAAATGCCAGGCTCCAAAACAACTGCTTGCTGCAAATAGATCAGGGCAGGAGACAGCAGAGACATTGAAATGGAAGGAAAATCCTGCTGTTAAATAGGGAGAACAGAGCTCTGCAAGCAAGCCACTGCCTGTGGCAGGGCAGAGCTGGTTCCAGCTCCTCTCTGCTGCTCAGAAGCTCAGGTCCCTCACAGAGTTTGTCCCTCCCTTGCTCTGCACCTACAGGACCTACAGCACCAACAATAGGAACACACGAAGGATCCTCAGCTCCTTCATTCCTGATCCACTTTTACTTTATTTCTTCAAGTCAGTTTACTGTGGCTTTATCTCCTTCCCATAAATTCATTAGGTGTACTTGTACAGATAAGAGGCCAAACCTTTACACACCTCACAGGCTCTGGGTGCTCTGCAGACAATGAATCAGAGCCCTGCCCTAGAGACACCTCAGCAGAAGAAAAGGAAATTATATATATTACTGCACATGGTCAATGACTTGCTAACAGCTCTAGAAGCTGAACCAAAGGATCCCAGACAGCACCAGTGAATGAGACTGGGAAACCCACTGTAGTTTTGCTCAGGTTTCTATGATTTCACTAGGAAAGCATAAGGAAAACTTGGTTAATTTTCTTGAGCTGAATGTCCACCCTGCAAGCCAACAGCCAAAGGAGCCCCACAGCTCCCATTCTGCTGGCAGGTAGGAATGTGCACAGTCAGAAAGCCCACAAACACCCTCCACAACACCTTCCCTTCCTCAGAACTGCTCCCACACCAGGGATTTCCCCTCCCTGGGCTGAGAGCAGACCCCTTGATCAGAGATATTCAAGCTAAAAGCCAAGGTGAGTCAGCAATGCTCCAGCCCATGTTAGGAGGGGTGAAGAGGGAAGGAGCCTCTAACAGCACCAGAGCTCAGCCCCAAAGAGCCAGGACACCCCATTTTCCCTGCTGTTAGTTCTGAGCACCTGAAACGCAGCAGGTGAGCTGCAGTGTGTGTCTGTGCCTGCTGCAGAACCTGGCCCAGGAGGGCTGTGACACTGACACTGTCACACCTGGCCTGGGTGGGCTGTGACACTGACACTGTCACACCTGGCCCAGGAGGGCTGTGACACTGACACTGTCACACCTGGCCCGGGTGGAGGAGGGCTGTCACACTGTCACACCTGGCCCAGGAGGGCTGTGACACTGACACTGTCACACCTGGCCTGGGTGGAGACTTCCCACACTCCCAATTTCCTTGGCTGCACCCAAGAGATGTGTCTACAACCTGCCTGCAGACTAAAAACCACCACAAATAAGTCACATAAGCAGCAGGAGGAAAGGTCGCAGGCAGAGACTCATATCCACAGGTTCACCTTCCTTGCACCTCTGTACCTGTCCACCTCCACCTGATTTTCCCTGTGTTATGGAGACCTTGCACACAAGCCCTGCTTCCAGAAGAAGCCTCACAACCCTCTGAGGCTGGAATCTGTGTCTGGCACATTGCAAACATAGCCCCCAGTGTTATAACCCAGCAGCACCTGGAAGGCCTGGTCCAACTGCCCTGCTGGCTGCATGGTTTGCCCTGCAGCACTGCATAGGCTGCATTTAGAGAGGCATTTCCTCCACAATTAAGCCACCGTGAATTTTAAACAGTAAATGTTTATGTTCTGCACTATTTGCATTAAAGAACCCCACAAAATCCAGAACAAGCCACCCTCTTGCACAACTCCCTGCTTTTTGTTATTTCCCCACTTAATCTGCAGCCTACACTGCCCACTGTCCATCCCTCATCTCTGTTTAACTATCTGGATTCATGAGTTTTGTCTGATAATGAGGGGAGCAGTGGGTGGAAAGAATGACGGTTGATATTTCTACCTGTGCCCAGAGTTTCCACTCCTGTATCAAAAGCACTTTTTTGGCTGTGGCCAACACCACCACCAACCCATCAAGACAAAACCCTGGATAACAAGGCACTGCTCTCCCCTAAAAACAGTTCATTAATTAATTTTTTAACAGAAACCCACGTTCTCAGCAGCAGCCTACCAGAACTCCCCTGTGTCCCTTCCCAGGTGACAGCAGGGCAGAGCATTTCCCAGACAGATGGATTGAAAACACCCACAGTGGAGTGTGAGGAGTCAATCCCTGCTCCTAAAGGCAACCCAACATCAGTGTCAGGAGCCACAGACCCAGCAGGACCCCTCCTCTCAGGTAAGCAGCTGGAGCTTGAGCTATTCTAATATTAAATTGTTCAGTTGCTGTCTCTTC